AAGGGGGTGAAGATCGATTGTCAACACGGTGCAGTTGGATGGTCACACAGTGAATGGGAAGAATGTTGCTCCGAACTTTCGATTACCTACCAAGGAGACTATTAATTTTGTTGTAAACCGCCAGAGACCATCGACAGCTTGATTGATGGCGGTGAAAAGTGAGGAATAAACGTTCTATCCAGACGGTCCTCTGGCGGGGTGGAGGGGGGTGTAGCTCGGGCCGTGGCTGTAACTGTAAAACGTGACAGATTAGGCCATGACCAAGGACCTAACCTAACCTCCTTGGCCATTACGCAAATGTCACTACCTAGTTGGGTTGCAGTAAATTTCGATCCTTTTTTTTGTGCACCTATAATATTAGAGAGTAGTTTTTACACTTTTAGTAAATTGGCGAAAAGGTACAGGTTTAAAGACCCTAACAACACTATTAGAATATTTAAAAGGCGGAGCCTCCTGGTTTAATGTCTATCCCCGATCCCCAAAAGGGCAGAGCTAAATGGGAAATTCTTGTAAAGGGCCTTTCCCATGGAAAGTAATGTACACACACACACACACACACACACACACACACACACACTCACATACACACACATAAACACGCACACACACACACGAATTAGCACTTTCATAACCCAGTGTTTTTTAGTTAAACGATCGATTCCCTAGACGTCGTGTCACCATGGTAATGACCTGCGCCATGGTTTCTCCAACAGGGGCCTTGACCTGTGACCTAGTGAAACATTTGCGAGGGTCGGTGAAACATTTAGACTCACAGATGCTCAACAGTATGACTGAGACCGAGTTCAAGAACTGTCTGTCTGCTTTTGGTCATGTGAGCGACATGCCAGATGAGACCATCAATGCACTGGTAGCCAGAATGAAGCAGGTGAGGATGAGGATACGGTATTTTTGCGTCGTTAGTTTTTAGGATGAAGAAACACTTATTTTCTGTCATTTTTTTGTATGATAAAATTATATGTGGGTAGCATAGATCTATTTTTGTAACACAATTTGGACTATACTTGTGCGGAAGAAAAGCTTGATAAAAGGAACGCTTCTTTTGTGTCCCTAACTTAGTTTCATGATTTCAAAACAGAAAAAAGATACACGACTCCATTTCTGCACATGATGTCATCTTTTGAAAAAAATTATTATTTTTAATTGTTGTGGAATATCAATACTTTTCAAGTTAAAACTTTTGTTACCATTTCTTTTTGTTATCTCCTAAAACACCCAACGTAACTCTTGTGCCAAGAGGGTTTCTAGTGGTTTAGCGTACAGGTACGAGATTTTAGACAGCTACCCATAAATAGGAACAATTCTATGTCAAGGGAAGTAATGGAGAACATGCAGAGGTGGGGACGGAAAGAGAACCAGAGAGAGGGAGAGAGAGAGAGAGAGAGAGAGAGGGGATGATTAGAAAGGGGGAAAAGATAGAAAGATAGAAGGAGAGAAAGACTGATGGTGTGGGGTGAAGAGAGAGAGAGAAGGAACGTGGGGGAGGGAGAGAGAGAGAGAGAGACATAGATAGATGGATTGAGAAAGAAAGAAAGAGAGAGAGGGAGAGAGAGAGAGAAAGAGAGAGAGAGAGAGAGAGAGAGAGAGAGAGAGAGAGAGAGAGAGAGAGAACACAGACAGACAGACAGACAGAGATACTATTTTCTAACGTTCACTCCTACCCCAGCTGTATGGCGGTGTGGACACCTGGAGCAACGAGGCAATCCGCCGGGCCGGCGTCATTATCTCAGGTCTGAGTCCAGCAGAGATCCAGTTGCTGCAGCTCACGGGAGTGGACGCTATGAACAGTGTGGCCAGGCATGGCAGACTCACTGCTGAGCAGGTCAGGGTACTTCAGTGTCGCTTGCATTATATAGGGGGAGGAATTGAATATAACTGCTGCCGGGGTTTTGTGCACCCCCCCCCCTCCTAAATTACTAAAATTTTTCTTTTTTGTTTTCATACTTTCTGATTTTTTACCTTCATCATTCTTTGTAAAGATTAACAGAATCGCATAATTTCCCACTGTTGAGCTCAGTTTGTATAATTTCAGATTTTTTTGGGTATAAAAACACGGGGACAGATATAGGGGGACTTGAATAGACTTATAGCCTTGAATATGTTGCTGCAACTGAAAAAAAAATAGCAGGCAAAAGACAGGGGTAGATCATGAATGTCTTACTTAGACAATAATAATATTGTGAATAGAGAAACATTTTGTAAAGCACGATCATCGACAAGATAATGATGTTTTTTTAAAACAAGTTCCTGATGGTGCCCAAAGGGCGGTGATGGTGATGATGATGATGATGATAATGATGATGATGATGATGATGATGATGATGATGATGATGATGATGATGATGATTGATGATGATGATGATGATGATGATGATGATGATGTTTTTTTTTCATTTCCTTAATTGGCCTGGTGGATTCCACGAAGAACTCTTCCAGCGAGAGCGAGGCTCTTTTTCGGATCCATTGATGATGATGGTGATGATGATGATGGTGATGATGATGGTGATGATGAAACAAATGCAATTGTTTAATATCAACATGCCTAGAAGATTTGCGTAATCCATCGATGATTCCCTCGTCCTGCAGTTGAAAGCTGGCTTCAGACGTTGGCTCAGTCTCTCCGGGGTCAAAGATGACATCACAAAAGTCAACTCTGGCAAGTTTTCCTCTCTCTCCGAGTTTGTGTGTGGTCTGGAGATGAGTGACATCACAGCATTGGCAGAGGAGACCTTCAAGTGAGTGCAGCCATTATACTGACCCATATCATATGCAGTGTTTTGTAAACAACGTTGGCGACCTATTTTAAGGAACTAGACAGCCTCAAATTTTAAAAATTTGTTGTTGTTGTTTGTTTGCTTTTTTTGGAAGGGCGGGGGGTGTTTACAGGACAGCAAAAGAAACATAATATTTAGTATTTCTGGGCCGTTTTTCTGAAGTAAAGTGCAGACATTTTTTTCATATAGATCTAGATCTCAAGTCAAAATCGTAAACCTAGACTGTTTATCTCCATATTTTTAATAATGTTGCCTGACATCAGTTTCTGAAGAGTATTAAGATCTTACATTAACCTATCAAATACAATCGAACCTACTCTAAAAAAACATCTTTCCAAGACAATGACACGTACAATCGACCACTTCCCATTTCACCCTTGTCTGTTTGTCTATTATAATGACACTGTCTAGAGAGTCATCTCTAAGATAATCACCTTTCTCCTTGACGCTGGGCGGTTGTCTTGGAAAGGTTTCGTCCTGCACTGTACTTTCAGTCTGACGTCTTTAACCTTGTTGAATAAATAAATTACGTCCCACAGATAAATGGGCAGTCGAGCTGTTAGTAATTATAAATTATGTGCTCGCTATGTAATGCATCATCAGTTAGCTCGGTGTAATCGAGCAATTTAAGATAACCCAAGACCAAGCAAAACAAGAAGGTCGCTGCCTTTATCAACTCTGTTATTACCATACTAATTGAACTTGTTATGGCTTGTTTGACTTGTCTGAGATAAATAAGTGTAAACAGCATTGTGAGCAAAAAAAAGGACCATGGTCTTTTCCTTTTTTTTAATGTCATGAACGCAATTATCACATTTGCTCATAGAGAAAGAACGAACACAATACTCTACTAAATAGTTGATAAGAAACAATAACAAGCTATCGCATGAGTCATAACCTAACGTTAGTAGCTCATCACAGTCTCCCACGTTGATAACACATAGTATACAACACAGTGCACAACTTTCAATCATACACGTTGCTATCAGTAGTATCAGAATGTCAGTTCAAGATCAATTCGATTGGGTAAAAAAGAAATACAGTTTAGCCTACATAACGAACTTCGATTAATCACTTTACCAAAGGTCTACACGCTCCTTGAGGGTATGGGGGCCACTAGCTACCATCGATATCTAACGCATGATAGGTGTGATCTAATTAAGAAGTGTGTTAACACTTACTGTCTTTTGTATGATTTGCACAGTGACAAAAGCTGCGATATTTCTTAATTAATTAACAGTAGTACAAACATTAAGCTTTGTTTGCGGGGTAATCGAAGTTTACTTTTTGTCCCTTTGGTGATTTGTTTTCCCGTTCCATTGTCCACTAGGTTGCGAGATGGATATCAGTACTGAAAAAAAATTGTGATAACTAAATTGGAAAGTTTAATAATATAATAGCGTACTGGAAAATTGGGAGCATACAATTCTTGATTCCGTAATGATAGTGATATGTCTTTGGACTCCCCAGATAAATAAATTGTAAAACATGTTTTAAGATGTGAAAGACAACGTGGATTACACAGAGGTCATGGGACGGTTGGAGCGGGCCACTGACAGATCTTACTTTCTTCTGATCAACTACTGTTGTTCCTTTCTGTCTGTCTTTCTCTTTTCTGGCACAAAATATTAGCCGGCACTGTGTCGACTGGCTTCTCTTTAGGGCAAACATGAAATTATAAAAGTTGCTGGCGGATTTCTGTAGACTCAAATGCCCCTAAAATAAAATACTCCGAATACGGTCGATCTGTCCTGCTCCACACAAAGGGACAATACGTTCTGATTGAATTCAACCCCCAGTGCCTTGCCGACTGGCGTGGGCGATCATGGACCTCCACTTCACTCTGTCTAGCGTTGCCGCAATGGTGTCTGTTGGTCTTGCTGCTCCTAGTCATGTTGTCTTCTTGTCCAGTATCTTTTCCCTCTGTCTGCCTCTGCCCCTCTTTCCATCAAACTTGCCTGCTGTTACAATATTCTCCAATGCTTCATTCCTCATTGTGTGTCCGAAGAAATTTGCCTGTCGCTTTCTTATATTCGTCATAAGCTGTCTCTTCGCAATTTGTTGTCTTATACATGTGTACTATATTATACAGTTTAGACTGCACTTCTGTTTATGAGAATATTTTGTTCTTCAATAATCTGTGATCCAGGCGTTCCTTGGAAGTGGTGGGTCACTCCAGCACGTGCCCTCCCGAGATCAAACAAGCCTACGCGAACAAAGCCGCGGTTGTATACGGCACCCGCCCCCCTCAATGGCCACCGGCGCTGGTGGGCGACATGGGACATCTGATAGGCGCCCTCAGCACAGAGCATGTGTCGCAACTGACCCCTGGCCAGCTGGCACTGGTCACGCCCACCGTCATCCAGAAACTGCCTGAGAGTAAACTTGTGGTGGGTTTCGTGTTGCTTAATTTTGGATTGTTTTCCCTGTAATTCATTGTTTTTGTTGTTTGTTGTTTTTGTGTTTTTTTTGTTTTAGTAGAGGATTTACGGCGCTCGCAACTGCATAAGGTCATATGAGCGCCTGAAGATTAGAGGTGTTACAAGATAGTAACAAACATAAAAAAGAAGGACGATAGATGTTTGATTGGAAAGAAGGATCAAACCACACCAGAGCACCCGCCAACCACCCACTTTCATTGTTTGTGGGAAATTAGTGGTCTGTCTCAAGGACGTAAAGTCGTGTTGAGACATGTACAAAAATAAAGGATTATCTGTGTGCAAGGGATGGTTATATAGTACCATTTTTTGTCCTTTGTTATGATTTGGTGCTAAATATTGGTAAACAGTGAGTGAAGTGCATGTATGGTAATGTGATAGGTAGGCCCATAATCATTAAGTAGGCCTATTGTTTAAGTTAGACTGTTCAGAATTAGGAAAAGAGATACTGTGTTGGGGGTTTGTTTTTCTTTAAACTAAGGGCTAGATCTCAATATACTCGTACATTTATATAATGTGGTAATCTTTGTTCATACCCTAGTACTCTCTTCCTCCCTCTCTCTCCCCCCTCTCTCTCTCTCTCTCTCTCTCTCTCTCTCTCTCTCTCTCTCTCTCTCTCTCTCTCTCTCTCTCTCTCTCTCTCTCTCTCTCTCACTCTCTCTCTCTCTCTGTTCAATTTTCCCCCACCTCTTTTTTCCACTCTTCTCTTCTACTCCTTCCTTTTCTTCTCCTTCTCCTTCTTCTCCTCCTCCTCCTCCTCCTCATCCTCCTCCTCCTCCTCCTCTCCCTCCTCCTCCTCCTCCTCCTCATTATTATTATTATTATTATTATTATTATTATTATTATTATTATTATTATTATTATTATTATTATTATTATTATTATTATTATTATTATTATTATTAAAACTATTTTTTTTAAACAACAAAAGTAAGCTTAAACCCATCTTCTCCCAGGCGATGAGCGTGGCCCAGTTGTCCGCCCTAAGCCCCAACCAGGCAAACGCAGTCACCGAGGGTCAGTTTTCTGCCCTAAGCCAAGACCAGAGAGATGCTGTAGCCGAGAGAGCAAATGTTGCCTTCCACTACAAGCCTGACCCCAACGAAGGGACTGGAGGCGGAAGCGGGGACGGCGGCAATGGTAGATTTTACTGCAGATTCTTTCTCCTTGCATTTGTGTGTTTTTTAAATTAAAAAATAACCATAATACATGTAGGCCTACTTATTGCTAAACATATGTGGGTAATTGTAAACGCGCGTGCAGGCGTACGTACGTACGCACGCACGCACACACACACACACACACACACACACACACACACACACACACACACACACACACACAACACACAACATACATACATACACCCGCACACAAATACACAAATATAACTATATAAATAGATAAGATACGTATTAGTAAACACATAACATGAATAATCACAAGAAGACAGACAGACAGACAGACAGACAGACAGACAGACAGACAGACAGACAGACAGACAGACAGACAGACAGACAGACAGACAGACAGACAGTCAAACGGACAGACAAACAGATAAACTTACAACGTTTCTATGTTATTCTTCCCCAGGAGCTCCGGAGATGAACATCAGCAGATACTTCCTGGCTGTTGTCGCCGCCCTCGTAGTTTTCATCATGTGATTTGAAAACTTTGCCCTCCCCATCTGTCCACACCCCAAGCTCTCATTCAAGCATCGCATCTCACACCCTTGCCATTGCATATTGTACCCAAAAATAGTTTTTGCACTTATCTTAATATTATGTATTTTTGTTGGTACAAAGTGCAAATCTCGTGAGGCGCTGAATCTCGTTTTTATTGTGTTCTATCATAATTAATTTCATATTTTTCATTTTAATGCATTTGGGCTTCATATTTTGACGGGTGGGTTGTTGTGCATAAATAATCTGTTTAGTTACGCAAAAAATTGCATAATGAAACGCTCTCGCGCAAAGTTGGCAGAGAACCCCATAGTGAGCATAAGAAGAGGAAATCTAACAGTGTCTATGACGTCTAGATTGGTTGGCTAAAAAACATGTGGCAAAAACAGTTTGTTAAAATTTGTCAGTGGATGCAATTACCATTTCTAAAAGAAAAAAATAACAACGTGTTATTTGAATCCAACAGCATCGACTTTATACGTTCTTCGAGGCACATTTTTGCAGATACGATGTGAACTCACAGTGGTAAGGCTCCACTTTAAGTCCCCTTAATCCCCCACCTTTACACCCTCCCTTTCTTTAAAAAAAAGAAAAGAAAACCACCGACGTAAAAACGTCTTTTCCACATTGTTACACGAGCAACGTGTAACCTCACAAAACGTGAAGACCGCCAATATGCGTTGTAGGTCAAGTAATTTCCGAATGAGAGTTCCAGAACGACTGCTCCGTGAAAGCTCCGTCATAATATTATTATTACTTCACTTTTTAAACAGCGTATCGTGGAGTCACACACTGAGCAGTCGATATAAACGTTCACTCTCACAATTCCCCCATCAAGAATAGGTAGGTCTATTATAGATCTACCCCTTGTTTAATAAAGCGTATCAAAGCTCAAGGACAAAGTATTCAACTTGTTGTTATAAAGATATGAAAACGTGTTCCTGCAGATCTGGTATTACGTCCGATTTGAAAGGAAGGAACATTCTGTCGGTGGCTCCGTAAAAAGCTATTTAAATTATTCAAAGACTGTTAGGGTTCACTTTTAATCATTTAACTGTTGGGAGATGTAAGGTAGCGATTATCTGTGCTAATTGTACAAAGACTGGGAAAATGACCACACAAGCCTACATTGTAGAACACCAGACTATACCATAACACAGCGAGGATGCCCCCTCCCCTTGTAACACTGGCCTCATTCAGCGCCATGTTTGCCTTACTTTAACGTTCTTTTAACCTTGCTCGACATTCCAATCATCCAAACTAGTGACACAGTTGAGAATGTCATAATATTTAAGCCATTGTTTCTATATTTTTAATAAAATATATTTATATATTTTTTCCAACATGTGTTTTCATTTGCATAATAATGTCTACATTCCGCCTTGTTCATGGCTTTTTGTTTGTAAAAATATAATATTCATTCTCTTCCAACTCGCTCTGACAGAAAGAACTAAGACACACAACCGACAAACTTTGAAAATAACAAACAAAATCTTATTTTGCTGTGTAGTATTTATGACATACGGTTCGTGTGATTATTACACAGAAATATTATAAATGTTAGTATATATTGGGAGGCGTGAGGAATCACAAAGTGCTTTTATATTGGTAAATACTTACAAAATGGTTTGAAATCTCTTCAAGACCGCCGATGAAAACCCAAATGAAGGCGAAAAAAAACCCCAACAACAAACAAACAACCGTCGGTTGCAGTTGGAAGAGTTTGATGCCGTGTTGTCACTATGTCCTTGGTGTGCGTACAGTGGTTTGTACTCTTGAAATGTTTTGTCGATAACTGTGTCCGTTACCGTGCGTCCCTATGTTTTTGTAAGAAGAAAAATAACAAACAAATGAGTTACATACGTTGCGTTTTTGAACGGTTTAATCACTAGTATTTTCATCATGAGAATGTTCATTTCTTACAACGTTGTATATTGTCATTGCTGTGATTTTGCTTGATATTGTTGACTGAAAATATTAAATTAATCACCCCTTTTAGGTCTGTATATTTTAATTGATTATATGTATTGAATTTCTTCTGCACTTTTCTGAATTTTTCGTCGTCGTATCTTATTTGCAAAGATGGAAACTTATGAAGCAACAATTTATTGTGCATCGACGTAAATCTTTATAATGTAATTATCCCGAGGAATTTCTATTAGAACGGCACACACATTTAAAGACTGACAATAAATGAAAGTATTATTATTCTAAATTAGATATTATGATCTTAGATGATGTGTAGAGTTAAGTTGAATTACCGTTTAACTGGAAACTTGTTCAATAAAAAATGGAATGTTTTTGAATTTCTACAATACATACTATTTGGACAACCTCCTTCTTGTTCTTCATTCTTCTGAAGCTACGTTGTTATTTTTCAGCAGGATGGCTCCTCTGTACGATTTTACACTCAATGGCAATCATTGTTTGGGCTGTGCGGTCTAAAAAAACAACCAAAAATTGATTCTAAAGTGTTTGATCAAAAGTAAATTATGCAGGAGGGAAGCAATTTGCAGACTTATTATTTTATTGGAGTTAATGAGAATGAACTTATTACTTGCAATAGTTTCTTTATTCACCAGGCGTACAGTTACTGTTCTATTAGGCCTACCCAGAAATACGTGGGGTTTTTTTTAAAAAGAAGAGTGCCTTGCGTTTGACATTTTGGGTCACTATAGTGAGGTCAAAAATTCGTGCCACAACTTTTTGTCAAGTATTTCCTTAACTATCAAGCTTAGACTCTCCGCCTTTTGCACCATGATTTGCATCAATTCGTCATAACAGGTCAATATTTTCGAAAACATCTGTTAGCTGTATTCTAGAAAATTCTAGAAAGTAGCTTGGGTGAGCTGGACAAAAGACTCAGTTTATAATATGAATAAAAATCGCTAAACTTTCTCAAGAGAAACAGTGGCGTTCGACTGGTACCGGGGCACCCTGTCACACGATCAACGGAGGAGAATCGCCGTGTGCTATTATTTATATCACTTGGAGGAAAATAAATTAGGTCAAAGTCAGAGCGCGGGGGACAAAGAGCTGAGGGGAACTTTCCCAGTAGACACCGGACACATTAGACACGATAGAAATGTGTAGATAGCTTGTCGTTTTCTTGAAAGAGCAAGGACAACATGGAGATCTATGTAATTCGTTACTGTAACTTCTTAGTTATGAGCCAGTTTTGAACCCGCTGCTTCACGGTATTTCAGTGGTTCACTTTTCAGTATTGTATGACACAATTCAGACAAGATTTACCAATCCTGCCTCTACAGTGTAGTGGTTAAAAATACTGAAGTTCCGAGTTCGGTTTCCGAGAAGCTAGGGGAGAAATCTTTATCTCGTTTTTCTGCTGATAGATTGGGTTCCTCTCGGTCTGTGTTGCTCTCGACAGGCAGGATTGAATTGAAAGCCTGTCTCTGGTACATGAATAGCCAAAAGGGCAGAAAACAGGACACGAGCGATCTTTAGCCCACATTCTGATAATGAGTCATTTCCAAAAATAGAAAGCAATAGAGTGAACGTGGCCTTGCTTTTAGATAGGAAGTTTGCACCACCAAAACAGTGACAAGGGCAGATAATTGCGTCAGAAAACCACTTGAGCCTATATAATATAAACCATTACAGGGTTCAGACTTGGCAGTCTCGCTTTTGGTGACAGACAACAGTGACGACATTCGCTGTTCTTCACATTGCAGTATACACTGTACCTGTAACTGTCCAGTGAAATAGTTAATTCACACGAAAAGTGAGTTTGATTTTAAATAGTATTGCGTGCCCAGGGGAAACCGTCAGCGGTGACGTCATTGCCACAGAAATGATTGGGTCCCAAGAAGCGGATGTTCGAGGGTAAGTTGTTAGAGAAAAATACCTTCTTCTACCTCTTCTTTTTTTTTTCTTCTTCTTTTTCTTTTCTTCTTCTTTTTCTTCTTTTTTTTTCTTCTTCTTCCGATACCCGGCGTCTGTGGTGTAGCGGTTATGCACTTCGCAGCCGCACACAGGAGACCGTGCTTGATTCCCTAGTGGGGAGAAAAATCTTCATTTAGTACGTCTGTCTTTCTGCTAGGATGTTGTATCCCTTACAGTCTAGATTGGTCCTGACAGGTAGGGTCGGAAGTCTGCCTCCTAAATGATCCAAGTTGTGTCATCAGGGGCCTAAATGCACTTACGTTAAAAAAGAATAATTAATCTCAAGAGAACTTGACAGGACATCCCTCGATCCACAGTATTCTTCATTTTTATTTCTGTACCCATGACACGATATTAAAACTATAAGTTTTGGTCTCCTTCCTTACTACTAGCCATTTCTCGTTTTTCTCCGTATTAAATTTTATGCCACAATTTAATTACCACAATGCTATCATCAGTTTTGACCAGGAGCTGACGTATAGAGATGTTTGTGGTGCTGGACAACTTTGGATGACAAAACAGCCTGCATTCTAGTGAGTAATAGCCTTTCACATACTAGGAGTTAAGTGATTCACGTAATGCTAATGTTTCCATTTATATTTTTCAGGCAGTCCCCACCTGCTGGTGCCCCCTATCAGCCTCAGCATGGCAGCCCCCAGTCTTTTACCCCGCCCCCTCAAAGCACAGTTGTCCCTGAGACCACAGCCACCTCGCCCCTTATGTCCTCCAGTTTCCCTGTGTACAACAGCATGTCTGGGTCAAACAGCTCACCTCCCAGGGAAGGAACACTGAACGACCTCCCGGGATACAGCGGGAAGTCAAAAGTAAAGGCGTACCTGCTTGCCATTTCCCCTTTAGGACTGATAGGAGCTCATCACTTCTATCTGCGACGCTATCATTGGGGCATACTCTATTTCTGCACTATAGGCCTAGGTGGCTTTGGGTATTTTTTCGACTGGTTTCGAGTTCCGAGCCTAGTTCGCGAAGCTAACGCAAGAATCACAAACTGGGGAGAAATTATTGCAGAAAACACAAACGAGAAATCACTGTCGGATGCATATGTGTTGTGGTTTCCGTTCGGTCTACTCGGATTCCATCACTATTACCTTGGTAATTATTTATTGGGAGTTGTCTTCACTCTCACTATCGGTTTCTTCGGAATTTTTTGGATAATTGACGGAATTATAATGTCCAGATGGGTCATCAATGCGAACCAGCGTCTGGGATACATATACGATGGCGTGGAACCAGTGGCTGTGTCTCACTTGCTAGGAGTGAACCCTCCGTTAGGAATTCTTTGGGCTCATCAACGTAATCTGAATCGTCATGCTTTGGCCGTGGTTGACACCTTCAACTTTTATGTATATTTTGTAGTATTTTTTTGGGTTGGTTTTTTTACAACTGTAGTACGGCGCTCGCAACAGCGCTATCGACAACTTCGCTAGAGTCAGCGCTATGGACAACTTCGCTAGAGTCAGCGCTATGGACAACTTCGCTAGAGTCAGCGCTATGGACACTTTGCTTCTGGCGGACAACAGACACTGGCGACAGCCGAAATGGCCAACCCAGGAACATACAACTCAGCGATGCCCGGCCCAATGCCAGGGCGATACCCCCAAGCTCCTTAACCACACTTATTCCCCTCCGTATCAGCAGTATCCAGGTGCGTACAAGAATCCAGGCTTCTGTCTGAACCCAGCGACATACCCTGTGGACCCCGGCCTGGAAAATCCACCTGCTGTACTTCCATTATTTGCTGCCCAGCCTCCAGCTTATACCTATACCGAGAGCGGGGACCATCACGAGGGGCAGGCCACCCTATCAGCCTCAGCATGGCAGCCCCCA